CTGGGGAATTCTGGGAGTTGAAGTCCAGACATCTTAAAGTGGCCAAGGTTCAGAAACACTGGCTTAGAGTGATGTCTGACCCCAAACACACTTTCTTTTGGGACTCTTCTTTATCTTTTTTTCTGCTCACAGGTTTACGACGTGCCCTCGTCCTTGCTCCGGGACGCGCTCTCGGACACTTACGACTCGCCTGCCCCACGTGCCAAGAAAGTGGCCCGGGTGGCCCCCCAGCCCACCGCCCCCCCGGATTTGGACGAGGCCTACGACGTGCCGCTCGCCTTCAAGAAGCCCCTGGCCCAAGAGGAGGAGGAAGGAAGCGGCGAAGGGCCACTGATCTACGCCATCCCATCCAATTTACGCCGCGCTTCCGCCTTGCTTAACTTGTACGAGTCCCCCGAGGATGTCCGGGCAGGCGGGCAGGAGGAGGAAGAGGAAGAGGATGGGGGCATTTATGATGTTCCTCTGCTGACGCCCAGCACTCCACCCCTGGAGGGGGCCCTCCAAGGACTCAGCCTGAGGGACCCGGGGCCCCCCACCCGTCCCCGGCTGCCTTCCGCGGAGAGCCTGTCCCGTCGCCCACTGCCCGCTCTTCCTAGCGAGGAACGTCTCTCCGGGGAGGTTCCCCCTCCGTCGCCCAGCATCGTCCGGAAAGGCAGCATCCAGGACCGGCCGCTGCCTCCCCCTCCGCCCCGGCTGGGGGGTCTCAGGGCAGGAGAGGTGCTGGACCAAGCCAGGCACGACGTCCACAACGAATACGAGGGGATCCGTCTGGCCGACGAGTACGATTACGTTCACCTCAAGGTAAGGGCAGCCACAGCACGGGGCAGGTCTCGATCCAGCTGTTGACGTCGGGACGTAATCCAGATACCGCTTTGCTTTTATCCTGAGCGGACCCCCAGCCCTTGGGCTTTTCTGCGTCAGAGGCCGGCGACCCCTGGGTCGCAGCCTTCTGCAAGTGCCGCCCCCCAGGCCAAAACCCCACGGCTGAAATTCAGTTGCCGAACAGCTGGATTTCAGGAGTCCATCCATGATTTCTTTTTCCCCCCAAAATTAAACTTAGCCCAGAGTCTTTCCAAACAGCCCCAAATTAGCAATTATTTCAAAAAGGTGGGGGGGGGCATAATGATGGGAATGGGAATCGTTGCCTGCCAGGGACCCCTGCTCCTTCCCCTCCCCCCAGAAACTGCCCCCAAACAAGCTACAAGCCCAAAGCTAAAGAAGTTTCACTTTGTCTCGTCCGGAGATGCGACGCCGTCACCCTTTGCTTCTCTGCAGCCTTTTGTAGGTGGGGATGGAAAAACTCAAGATAGCATATGCACCTGTGCAATTGAAGCCCTGCCCCCTTTGCACACAACACACCAAAAGGGGCAGGGCTTTGGCCACGCCATTGCTGGCGCCCCCTTGACTTTTTTGACCTCCCCTGCATGTACCTTTGGATACATTGCAGCCCTCGACTCCTCAGACGTTGCAGACTCCTTCCAAATTGTCTCTAGATCCACGTGCTTCAGGGGGACGCGGTGGCGCAGCAGCTTAATGATGCTGAAAGTTGCCGGCCAGAAATGGTCGACGCTTCAGCGGTTCGAGTCCAGCCTTCGCGTTAGCAGGTGAGCTCCTGTTTCCTCCCCAATTCCTGTCAACCCAACAGTTCGAAAACTCACGTGAGTAGATAAATGGG